GGGAGAGACAAAGAAGAAGTCAACAACACATCGCCCCCCCCCCCCACCGACTCACCTGCGGCCTGGCAGAAGAGGTAGAAGGTCCCCAGCGCCTGAACTTGCTGTGCCTGGTCACTCAGGAAGGGCGGCAGGAAGGTGACCGGTGCGGGGCTGTTGGGCCCTGAGGCCAAGGCCGGCCAGGGGCTCCCAGGAGAGGAAGACCAGTCAGGGCCCAGACAGGACAGAGAGGAGGAGCCAGGAGGAGGGAAGGGCTTAGGAGATGAGGCTGTGAGACAGAGGACAGAAAAGAAGCACTGAGGAGGAAGTCATCAGAACATGTCCCGTGCCAGAGAAGGGAAAGCAGCAAGAAACAGACACGTGCGGATGAGAAAGGAAAAGAAGCCAGGGCCACCCTCACCCAGGGCCATCACACAGGGAGAGGGGGTTGTGCAGCCTCTGCTAAGGAATGGCCGGCCCAGTCAGTGATAAAGCTTCTGGTTTATTTGGGTACTTTTCAAATGTATACAGTTCAAAGTAGAAAAATAAAAACAAAGTAAATCTTATAAACACAAATGTTTACACTGAATGGTGAGATCATGTCATGTAGAAGATGAGTGTCTACACAGCACATGGAATCCAGAGTTCACTGCTCTGCATGGAATGTGCGCACTCCCTGCACAAAGCAGGGAAATGGGGTGTGAAAAACAAAACAGATGGAGTATGTGGAAATCGTACCGCCCAGTTACATTCTGAAAGACACTGGCAGGAGTCAGGCTGCAGTGCTGGCCGCCTAAGCGGGGTGCTGTGGTTGCTGCTCAAGGCCAGCGGCTCATCCACCCAGCCCAATTCTGTCTTGGGGTAGACAACTCCATGAGGCCAAGGCGGAAGTCCAGCGGACAGTGGTATGAGATTGGAAGCAAGGGAAAACAGCAGCAATCAAGAACCAAGGTCGCCCTCATAAAGGCTCTACCCATCAGGACAAGAGGTTTCAGGAAGCCGCAGGGCCATGGGGTTTAAACCCTCCTCCCCTCACAGGCCAGCTTGATCGCCACCCAGAGCCACCAGGCCACCTGCCCTCACTCAAAACCCACCTTGTGGATGTAAGACAGGAAGAAGAAAAAGTACAGAAAGAAAATCTCTGAAAACAGCATTTCCTTCAAAAAAATAAGGTAAAAAAACAAAATAAACCACAAAATAAAAAGGTGAGTTCAAGAGACAGTTTTCAGCCTACAGCTCTCTTCTAAAAGCAGGAAACAATGTGTTTAGCAAAAATAAGTCTATCCCTGAGATCATAAGCAACATAAGCCACATTTTATCCCAATATACAACAAAAATCTAGAAATGCACATTTTCTTGTGAATATTAAAACATCTCCTTCGGTAACTGAAAAAAAAAATGACCTAAAACATCAACATAATCAAAGCCAAAGTCCTAAAATTAAGTGGAAGAAAAGGTTTGTGCCAATCTGGACAGCAAACGATAAGTTACCAATCTGATAAACTAAAAAGGTCACTTCCAATCTGGAATTAAATTATCTTTTAGTGGCTGCTACAAGGAGGGGAGGAGGGAGGGTCTCTCTTCTCAATCCATGGAGGTGGCCATCTCGCCCCCAGGATACACAGGGCTCAGCTATATCAGGGCTGCCGCTGGAAGGGATATCTTAAAGCGCTCCAACAACTGCAGGACTCAAGACTGGGAGTCAATATTTGTTTCCCAGAAGGAAAAAAGAGGGGCAAGTCACAGGCTCAACCCAAGAGAAAAGAGACGAAGGACGGCGTTGGCGCCACGATGACAAGACTCAGCTACTGCACGGGCTCAACACAACACTCCAACACTCTCCACACAGACTATGGGGTCTCAGGAGGGGACATGCGGCTGCTGGCTTCAGTCCCCATCAGCATCTGAATCTGCAAACTTCAGTTCACATTTGACATCAAATGGCTTGTCCCTGGCAGAGAGCTCATCAATCCGCTGTGAGTCCTCGCGGTCGGTGGGCACTTTGCTGGTGATGGTGTCCTGCTCAGTTTCATAGCCAGTGTCCAGGGCTGGCTTTGGCTGCTCACCATTCTGCTGTGAGAAGCTCCCAGGCTCCACCAGTGTCTCCTTCACACTCTGTTCCAGGTCAGAGAATTCTGATTTAGGCTTCTTCTTCCCAAGCAGCAGGGCTGATCGGAATTTTAAGCACTGTCCAGGCAGGTAGCCCTTGTAGCAGTTGTAGGAAAAGAGGCAGAGAAAGAGGACAAAGATGAAGAGGAAGAGGGACATGAGCAGACGGTTGTCGCTGGACTTGAGATACACAGTCTTCGAGTGGAGTTGGGGAAACGTGTTGATGACTATCTTTGGTTCACGGGACGTGCCTGTGGATGAGTATTTGGGAGATGGGGTGATGCCCCTGGGGGAGGTGGCCTGCAGAATCGGAGTTGGGGAAGAGGACCCCTGGGTGAATGCCACTGGCACTTTGGAGGTGATCCTACTACCTTCGGTGTGAACAGCCAGCAAGGTGGGCAGCATGGGGGTCTGAGGGACCACCTTCATTTCCAGGACATGCTTGGCCAGCAGCTGGGAGACTGTCTTGTTCCTGACCCTCTCCTCTGACAGGCACTGGTACACGCCACTGTCTCCCTCTGATAGGTTGAAGATGAGCAGGTGTTTCCTGCCCACAAGGCCATATTTGGGGCTTTCGGCCTTCAACAAGCCATTCTGGAACTTCCACACCACCCGGGCCAGGTTGGAGTTTTGGAAGCATTTGAGTTCAGCTGTGCCACCGTGCTTGAAAAAATGCTTTCGGAAACTTTCTTTACTCTTATCTGGAACATCAAAATAAATGTGCTCAGCATCAACAAACCCGTCCGCTTACTCAACTGGTTTTATAAACAGGTTAATACCCACAGGAGGACATGAGAGTTTCACCCATTGGAACAAGACGATCTTCAGTACTGAGATAAAACACATGTGTGACCCAACAGCAAAGACTGTAGTAGTCCTCTGATAGTAGTCCTCAGGGACAAGGAGATCGGAGACAGCTCTGAGAAATCCTGTTCTTACACTGTCCCCAGAGAAAACACAGCAGGCTGGAGGCTGAGCACTTTGGGTGATGGCACTCGAAGCCATTTGCCAAATGTTTCTGCTAACAGCTGAAGCAGGTCAGCAAGTGCCTGGGCACCCTCTCTCACATGTCTCAATCTAACAACGCTATCTGATCAAAGAGGCATACACAGGGCTGAGGCCTATCTGTCCTTATATGCTGGGAAGGTGGACATGGATCCAGGTCTGATTCTATGTCTACCCCTGATCAGCTGTTCCCTGATGGCCAGCCATCAGCAGTGGGAACTCCAAGAAGATACCAGAACTAATTACTGCTATGTCTTTTGCCTGAAATATCAGAGATTAGAAATGTTTTGTGTATGGGACTATTTGTCTATACAAAATGTGACAACTGTCTTTGGGAGGGGGACCAAAGTCTAAATATGGAATTCATTTATATTTCAGAGGCATCTCTCACATGCAGCCTGAAGAAATTTTGAACAATTCTTCCTCCCCCTGCCCCTCATGTGTGTATGCAAGTGTGTGTGGAGTCCAGCAATGAACCAAGTATCATTCTTTAGGCAACGGTTACCTTTTTATTGAAACAGTCTCTCTCATTTATCTAGAACTTGCCTAGTAGGCTATCTGGGGCCAGTAAGTTCCAGGGACCCATCTGCCTTGGCCTCCTCAGTGCTAGGATTACAAGCTTGCACCACCACACCCAGCTTTTTTTCATGAGTTCTGAGCCTTGAACTCAGGTCCTATTGACTGAACTATCTCCTCAGTCCTGCAACATTTTAAGTAACCTTGTGTATGAAACTTAAGTTTCCTAGTATAAGACTTTCTACTTGGGGTAGGACCCTGTAATAAAGTGTTTCCAGGCTGCAGGTTTTGGATTAGAGCTCCTCAACTGCACCCAAGAGCTCCTTGTTTTGTTGAAGGAGCCCTGGGATAAGCAAAACAGAAGACAGTTTCCAGTAAAATGACAACTATATGGCTTCAAGTACTCTCTGCAAACAAAGAGAAAGATTGAAGGTCCGCTACAAGGAAAAATCACAGGTCTGCAGCAGCAACTTGACCTCTATTGAGAGAAGAAAGGAAAACGACACAGAGGAACACCACAGAACTGGCTGAAACCCCAGAACGTAAGCACTGTGAAACATGGAAAGCCACTCACCTGGGCATGAGGATGTGTCGCCGCTCATCTCCTGAATCCACCCCCTACAAGACAATAGGCACACGTTACTCTCCAGCCACCCATGGGGGAACACACATGCAGCATCCCATCCATACCTGCTGGGACCCTCAGCCTGGTACAGGGTGATGCAGGCCATGGTGGCTGGGTTCCAGGCACAGTAGGGGTCCCGTGCCAGTACACAGTCCTCACAACTACTGTGCTTCCCGCAGAAGGCCAGCGGGCTCTGGACCACTCCTGAGTTGGAGCCAGCATAGACAAACCTCCTGCCCTGCTGGTGGAAGACAGAAAGAGAATAGGTATAAGATGGGCTTTATCACTGGTAGGGGATGCAAGCTTCAACAGCAGCTCCTGGGAATGACGGCATCTTCAAACACTGCATGGAGGAGGCAACCCTGGTTTAGGACAGGTAACAAGGTAAGGTATGACCTTACCAATCAATGTCCTGCAAAAACCCAACAGGACGATGGCAAATCTCACAGAGCAAGGGACTCTGCCATACACTTTCCACTCACTAGTATGGGTGAAGGAGGAGTCACAAAAACCAGCCACAGTGCTCACTGTAGCCACATGGAGCTCAGTACCTGCCACCAGACTCTGACCTCTAGAACAGAGACTTGCCATATCATCGGCTGCATGGTACTGGCAGAGACCCAGCACACAGGTGATACTGAAGGCTTTATGAATGTTGTACACAGCCAGAGGGGGTCCCATAACACACATGGGACAGCTATACCTTCAAGGCATTGGTCTTGGAATAGGCTTCATTCATACCCCAGGGCTTCCTGACCATACACGTTAGCATTATAGCATCACATGAAACACAACTTTCACCTTGAGGTGACATGTTCCACAGTGGCTTCAGTCTAGATGGAGTTCTGTCCCCAGGGCTGACCCAGGTCCAAAGACTCAGGGCCATAGGCCCACCGCAGGAGCCATTGGCCAGGGAAGAAAGGAGCCCTCCAAGGATAATAGTGACAGTGAGGGCAGATGGTCCGGCCCAGCAGCCACCCTGCCAGTGCAGACCTTGGCAAATGTGGCCACATGCTGACCATGATAGGGCAGAGGCCAGCCCTTCGGGTTATGTGGGAAATCACACAGCTGTGGAGGAAAGCTGAGCTAAGTCCTACAGGAGACCTGGGAGGTGGTGGGGACATTCATAAGGGGAACTGATAGAGCTGGGCAGGCAGGGTGATGGTTGGGTGTCCACAGAGAATGGGATGGGCTATGGGGAGGAAAGGGGCTTCTTCCCTCTGGGACCTGAGCCTTCTTTTCCTTGGGCTAGAGCGCAAATGAACCTGAGGTATGAAAGTGGGCAGTGCCTCATGGAGTCCAAAATGTAGAAGGAAGAGAAAGAGAATGTCTCCACAGGACCACAGCAGAACCCACGGCAGGTCAGGCCTACCTGCTGACAAATGCTGATGTTAGTGGGCAAAAGGGACATAGGTACAGCTGTCCCTTGGTATCTGCAACAGTAGGCTTAGGGGTGTATGAGTGTTTAATTCCCTTTCAAGGGATGGTGTATCTTTTGTGTCCAAACCAGGCAGCCCTCCTCTCATCTCTAGCTAGAACCACCCGAATGTCATGTAAACAGCCGTCATGCTGTGTAGTGGCCATGGGAAAATGACAAGAAGAGTCCAAACATACTCAGTACAGTTCATAGCTTTCCAAATATTTTCTACCTAAAGTTGGTTGAATCACAAACTTGGAGCCCATAGATATGGAATCCATACGGAAAAGCAGCACTAGGCCACAGAGCTTAGCTGTATCTCAGAGCCAAGTGTCAGAGACCAGGCACTGGTACCTGAAGCCACAAGGGTGACCTATGATCTATCTGCTCAGTGGGTCACAGCACAGGATCCTGGCCGGGGAGGGGAGGAGGGGCATCCTCAGCTAGCAGGCATGGGACAGGGCAGGTGGCAGCTGTCGGTAGGGAGGTGCTGGCCCATCCAGATTTGCGCTGAATCCTGAGCTACCCAAGCCCCATCCTCAGCACTACACAAGGCTTGCATACCCTTGTAACAGCCTGGTGATGAAGTGTTTCCACTTCTGTCCTATGAGGAAGAAACTGAGGCACAGAGCACAATGATGCTCCAGGACCCACAGCCACATACAGCATAGTCAGAATCTGGGGATAGCCCATATTCTGCATCTCACTGCTCCATCCCAGCTGCAAAATAGGGTGGGATCTCCTTCCAAGGACAGCGGACAAGAACAAGGGACAGCAAAGGGCTTTACATATTTCTATCTATCTATCTATCTATCTATCTATCTATCTATCTATCCATCCTTCCATCCATCCATCCATCCATCCATTCATCCATCATCTATGCCATGGGGATCTCACTTATTCCAAGCTTACTATATGGCCAAGTCTGGCCTTGAACTTCAGATCCTCCTGCCTCCACCTCCCAAGGTCTGGAATTACATGTATGTACCATCATGCCCCCCTGAAGAATTTTACATTTTTAACTGGTTGAAAATAAATTTTAAATTAAGTATTTTGTAGTCAGGCATGGTGGTACACATTTTTAATACCAGTACTTGGGAGGCAGAGGCAGGTAGAGCTCTGTGAGTTTCAAGGCTAGCACGATCTACATAGTATATTCCAGGCTAGCTCTGTCTGCATCTCAAAAAAAAAAAAAAATAATAATAATAATAAAATTAGCCACGTGGTGGCACATGCCTTTAGTCCCAGCACTTGGGAGGCAGAGACAGGCAGATCTCTGTGAGATCAAGGCTAGTCTGGTCTACACAGCAAGTTCCAGACCAGCTGGGGCTATAGGAAGAACCTCTCTCTCAACAAAATAATATTTTGTGAACTATGATAATATTAGGCCATGCAAAACAAGACTTCCACGGGCAGGCTTGGTAATCTATGTCTTTGCATGGCTCATGGGAGCCACAGGGCAAAACTGAGCTCCTGTGACTGAGGCCTCCGCTCCATTGTCTGCAGTGCCTCTGTTGGCTCAGATTTGGAATGAAACAGTGTGTGGACACGGGGAGCACTCCACATGGTGACCTGTTATTTCTCCACACAATTAGCATCATTGCTGAGTCTCTGCACTGCTGTCATGTCCCACTGGCATAGTCTACATGCTCACAGGTTTGGGACATAAAGATGTGTTTTCCTGGAGTAGTGCTCACCCCACAGTGCCTGCCACCTGACCCACTGGCTCAGTGCATTCCACCCTCCCCAGCTCTGCCCAGCCTCCTTCCCAAGCTTCATATCCTGTGATTTGCAGAATGTTCTGAGAGTCCAAAGCCATCTCATCTGGGCCAGGCAGACCAGAGGCTGCCAAGCCCTGAGTGACCACCCCACCCCCCTGGCTAGTCCTGACCACAACAGAGAAGCCAATAACAAGGACATCCACCTGGTCTTGCCACTCAGACTACATTACCTTCTTTGATGACAGAAGCAGAGTTTGGACTGGCTCAGAGTCCTGGAAGAGCTGTGTCTCTTCAACAACATGCACCTCATTCCCAAGGATGACAGCTTTGTGCAGGGCACCTTGATCTACAAGGTCAAAGTACAGGTCAGCAAGGAGGCCCCAGAAGGACACGCTAAGGACACTGTGTTGGTTAGTTTTAAATGTCAACTTGTTATAACCTCAAAACACCCTGGAAGATAGCCTCGACTGAGGAATTGCCTTGAGCAGGTTGGCCCATGGGAATATCTGTCAGGGACTGTCGTGATTGTTGATTGACATGGGAAGACAGAGCCCACTGTGGGCAGCACCATTCCCTGGGCAAGTGGTGTTGGAGTGTGAAAGTGAAGAAAGCTAGCTGAGCATAAAGAACCTGCAAGCAACCCAGCATAAGGCAGCATGGGTACACTCACTGCTTACTGCTATTGGCTGTGTGTGTGATATGGCTAGCTGCTTGAGTTTCTACCTTGACTTTCCTGAAATGATGCACTGTGACCTGATCTGGAATTGTAAGCCAAACTGTCCTCCTCTAAGTTATTTCTGGTCAGGGTCTTTTATCACAGTAACACAAATGAATCTAGGACAGACACCAACCTAGATGACAAACACAATTCTACACACTCAAATCATTCCCTCAATGGAGTTCTGAGACAAGGATGACTTTGCATTAGAAATGAAGAGTGTCGGTGAAATAAATGATAAGACACTCAAGTTAAAGGAATTCCAAATTTCTCACAAAGTATACACTTCTGTCCTAGGGTGGATTCCAACAACCTTCATCAACAAGGTTGGCATCCTGATATCGGAAGCCACATTTGGCTCTTGTGCTCCACTGGTCCTCCAGAGAAGGTTATCCCTGGAGAGGGGCCCAGAGAGGCAGATGAGCGGCAGGTCAGGGCACAACTGAGCAGGCAGAGACAAGGTCTCCCACTGCCATCCAGGAGATACCAGGCCAGGGCCACTGGTTCCATGACAAGAGGGATTGATAGAATGTGTGAATTGCAGAAGAGCCAAAAGCTTCATTCAGGAAAGCCATAAATCTCTTCAAGTGTCTAACTGGCCCTAAATTGGCAGCCTGGCCTTGCTCAAGCCTGGCTCTGCTCACCCTTTATCAGTTGGTCACTCCCAAGCCTGAGAGAAAGTGTTTGTGGCCCACCTGTCTCCTCTAGGGCCATAGATAACACTCCTGCCAGTTTCTGGGGAAATAATCTTGAGAAGGAAACCCTCACTCACTCCAAGGACACCAGCCCAGGCACTAACTCAACTCCCCATTAAGTGTAGCTGTGTCCCACAACCCTGGTATAAAAACCCCCATTTTCTTTGTCTGCTTTAGAAGCTTGGTTCCCGTGGACAGCCTCTACCTCTCACTCTATCTTCTTTGTATAAAGGAAGATCTATTCCTTGCCTGTTGCAGGTCTGGCTCTGTTTTCTTGTCTCCTATTTTTCTATCTTTCCTTTTATTTTCCAAAAATCTAACAGGGATTCCTTTACACCACTCCAGCCCAGGTGCAAGCCAGGACTTGCATGTTTAACAAGTGCCCCAGGTGGCCTGATAGTCAAAGGGATTCAGAATCCCAGGTGCAGTGATTTCTCAGAAATCTTTTAGCACAAACTGCTCCTGGCACCTGGAGATACCAGAATACCTACAAATGACACAGTAGATTTCTCAACCTTACCAAGGAACCCACCTGTGCTGATAAACATGACGTCATAGAAGGTCCCATCCAGCACCTGGGTCCTATCCACCACAATCTGGGTATAATTCACACCTTTTTTGATTAGCCTGGGTCTGTTGCCTATTGGGGTCACCGAGTCATCCATCAAAGGGTGGTCTTTAACAAACTGCAGTGTTTTGTCTGGGAGATTCAAAGAGCTGGTATAGTTGGCTGCCCGAGCCTCACTGTCGATGCACTGTGGGGTAAAAGCACCTTTGGTTAACATAACCACTCACCGTCAATCATGCATGGTAGCAGTCACATCTGCAGCCCTGAGGACCACAATGGAACTTCTCAGAAGAGGAGGAATTTGGGCTGAGGTGGCCTCCCCAGGGGCCAGGGGGATATGTTTTCAAAGCACAGCCACATGATATAATCATGTCTTAGGACACATAATCAGCAGAAGAATTATCTATCAATAAAAACACCAAGCTTTTGAACTTGAAAAGCACTTATGCCACAGATTTCCTATAAGAAAAGCATGCTAAACATTACTTTAAAAACATAAAACACGCCCCTGGGGCGGGCCGAGCCCAGCGGGTAGGCGGGACCCCTGGGGCAGTTTAAAACAAACAAACAAAGAAACATAAAGAACACAAAACAACTTAATTCTAAATGGCATAAAAGATAAAAAGCAAGATTTTTTTTCCTGTCCTACCTTCCTAGCCATCTTTTTTGTTATTGTTTTTTAAAAATATACATTATTTTTATTTTATGTGTATGAGTGTATTGCAGAGGTCAGAAAAGGTTGCTAGATCCCCTGGAACTGGAGTTACAGTTGTTAGCTATCATGTGGGTGCTGGGAACTGAACCCAGGTCCTCTGCAAGAACAGTCAGTGCTCTTAACCACTGGGCCGTCTCTCCAGCACCTCTTGTTTTATTTTAGGGGGTTTGTTTGTTTGAGACAGGGTCTTACCATGTAGCCCTGGCTAGCCTAGATCTCACTTATGTAGACTGGGCTGGCCTTGAACTCACAGAGATCCAACCTTCTGAGTGCTAGGATTAAAGGTGTCTATCAGTAAGCCTGGCCTAGCCATCTTATACCGAACGCAGTACACACAGAGGGAATAAAGATGGTGTTGGGCCAGACACCCACAGATATGCTGGTCCTGGGGCTAGTTTTGTGGGCCAGATAGGGCGCCATCCAAGAGCTACCCCAACACACCCATTCTTACCATGTGGCAACAATGATCAGGCAACCCTGGAATTTTTTCACTTAAAATTTACTATACAGGGACTGGAGAGATGGCTCAACAGTTAAGAACACTGGTTGTTCTTGCAGAAGACCCAGGTTCGAATCCCAGCACCCACATGGCAGCTAACAACTGTCCGCAACTCCAGTCCCAGGGGATCCGACAGCCTCTTCTGACCTTCGCGGGCATTGCACGACACGGGTGCACTTACCTACATGCAGGCAATACAACTATACACATAAAATAAAAATAATTTTTAAAAAATTTACTATATTTAGAAGGAAAGTCTGTGATTTTTGTTGACTAGCAAACAGGCCTGCTCAGGAGACAGCCGAGGTTTTGCTGAGAAACCATGTTTCTCTGCAGAAAACTGAAATGGAACAAGTCTTGGTGTTGTGCAATGTTCATTTCTCAAAAGAGCCCAGGCCAGTGGCACACTTTCTCCTTCAGGCAGCATGTGGTAACACCTGTTACCCAACACACAGAAGAGAACAGAAGAGAAACAAACTTCGCTTCTCACCCCCAGGCCCAGCAGCCGCCCAGCCCCATACAGAGACTCCTGTGGCCCTGTGTGAGACCCTCCCTGAAGCCCCAGTCCTGCTCACCGCTCCAGGGCGTGGTGTGGGTACCGGGCCATTGTAGCGCACCCACTTGGTGTGGGACTGCTCCACCGTGGCACTCTGCATATATTTCCCACGGGCGAAGACTGCCTCCACTGAGGTCAGCGCGTAGGCACAAACCGCTGACAGCCCCACATTGTTCCTGTGGAGGGAAGCTTTGTGAGTGCACATAAGTCAATGGACCATCGAGAGGTGGGCAGCTCCCCATGGCCAAGGGCACTCACAGTTGTGGGGTGAAGAGTGCATAGAACACAGGCTCCTTGAGGCCTGGAGCTCGCAGCACGAAGACATCCTGCAGTATGTTGAAGACCAGGCCACTGTCTGGCCTGGAGCAGATCAGCCTGGCCTTTAGGAAGGAAGTCCACTTCTTCTGTAAGGTCCGCAGGCCACCCTGGTCCCCCTGGAATAGCAGAGATAAGGCGTGGTCTAGGGAGCACAGCCTACCCCACAAGCAGACAGTCTGCATGCCCCATCCTCCAGTCCAACCAATTCTGCTGCAGATGGTTATGTGACTGCAGTGCTACTTCCTTATGGGCTGGGATCACAGACCGACCTGCCACATTAGCACACAAAAGGAGACAGACTCATACCATGTCAGTGTCCACCCTGTGTGCTGTGGGCCTTGGCTCCTGCTGCTTTCCCAACTGTGACCATGAAGAAGCATGCAAGAGTTGATCCCAAGCCCCTGGTCCAGCAGACCACCTTGGATGAACGTGTGACTGTCCCACTGGGAGATCTTGCATGTCCTATCTGCTTGCCCCAGATTCTAGCTAAAGTTCTAGGTTCTCCCAAAACACTTTCAGTGACCCAATGATAAGAGACAGCTCTGAAAAGCACAGGACGCTGTGTTCTGGAGAAGTACAGTGTCCCTCTTATCTGTCATCCTTTTCCCACAGCTTCCATGTCACACAATGAAAGTATTAACCCTGCGTTCACTTTCGTTGCTCCTTCCTTTCATGTGTATGTATGTGTGCGCATGCCCAAAGGTGATGTCAGGGATACTCCTCCATCAGTTTTCCACCTAGTTCTTTGAGGTGGGATTTGTTAGTCAAACCCAGAGCTCATGGATAAGGGTAGTCCCAAAAGCAAGCTTACTTCAGGGAGGTCTGTCTCCACATTCTAAGGCTTGAATTGCAGGTGGTCTGCCACACCCACCTGGCATTTACCTAGCTAGGTTCTTCTGGATCTGAACTCCGGTCTTCTTGCTTTCATAGCAAGCACTTTAACCACTAAGTCACCCTCTCAACCCTGCTTTGACTCATGGTTTTAAAAGATTTTATTATTTATCACTATTATTATTATTAATATTTTTGAGACAGGGTCTCATTATGTAGCACTGGCTGGCCTGGAACTCACTACATAGACAGGCTGACCTTGAACTCACAGAGATATGCCTGCCTCTGCTTCCAAAGTGCTGGCATTAAAGGTATGCACCACATCTGGATTTTTCTTTTTTATCTGTTCTTGTGTGTATGAATATATGCCATGTGTATGGGTGCCTGCAGAGGCCAGAAGAGGATGTCTGGAACTAGAGTTACAGGCAGTTATGAGCCACTCAATGTGCTGAGAACTGAACTTAGATCCTCTGCAAGAGCAGCAAACACTCTTAACCTGAGTCATCTCTCCAGCCCCCATGTTTTCCTTTCACACATATCAATCATAGCATACCATCATAACTGTTATCACTAGTTATTGTTATTAGTCTCTTATTAGGCATCAATTATACGTTAAAGTCTATCATGGTATGTCTATTCCAAGGACATCATGAAGTTCCTGAGAAAGCCTGGAATGGCAGCATTGGTGGTAGAAAGGAACCTGGTAGTTGGACTGTGCATAGGAACTGAAGGGAAGAGGAATGTGCTCACCTTGCACACCCTGGCGACACGTGGGATCATTAACTTGAAAACGAACTCGTACTCCACAGACACCTCCGTGAAGAAGAAATAGACCCTGTCGTCTTCACCCTCGGTGCTATCTAGGCTTTTCTGAATCACATCAGCAAAGACGAAGCTAGGCTCTGCAGAGAAATGCCACAGGATCATCCCTGAATACGATGGAACCACCTCACCACCTACTCCTAGGGTGTCACAGGCTGGCCAGTTCAGCCTCAGGGCCTGGAGGCTTCCCTACATAGACATCTGAGTGTGCTCACATCACACACCCAAACTTGGTCTAGGAACCATGCCCAGGCCGAGCCCACGTGGTGCCTGCCATACTCCTCAGCCTCAGAGGGGTGCCTCCTATGGTGACTCTACAGCACACATCCTATAGAGATGCCTCGTGGAGCCTCCCTATTCACAGGCAGTCTGCAGAGCCAGAGTACCTGCTGACTCAAACAAGTGCCAAACTGGCCAACATTAGCCATTGTAAGGAGGTACAAGACTCTGGATCCTGGGGGGGGGCACTTTGAGGAGGAGCTGGCTGTCTCACATCTTAAACCCCAACGGTACTTCAAAGACGCCTAGGGTTTCATGGGCCAGTATCCCAAGAAAAGGCCCACAAACAGCCCCTCATCGTCCACGCCCTGAAGTTAGACAGAAGACACCCCCGTCTGGGAGATTAAGACACCCAGATCCCATCTGACCAGACCACACCCATAATCGCACCACACCCAACCTGATAAGTCTGCATCTTCCACTTCCTACCAGAGCCTCACTTACCCAATCTGTTTTGGGAGTGCTGATAAAAGCAACCTTGAAACAGTGTTCTGTTAGCACAAACTAACCAGGATACCCACCAAACCCTGGTGTGGGTCTTGAGCAGTTCTGTAAGTGTCCCCACTGTCTAGGGACTGGCATGAACCACGGACCCCCACAGCTTAGGGACAGCCAGAGGATACATGAACTGTGTACACCGCATGTCTTACCGTTCAGCCATGGAATGGCGTACTCTGTCCTCAGGGGACTGTGGGAAGAGTTTCGAGAGATGATGGGTTCACTGCCCAAGAAATTGTATGACGTCCCTGAGTAGAGCTCTCCACCTGCAATGACGGAAAGAGAGCAAAAAGAGGAGCCAGACAGACCTTCCATCTGAGGCCGAGGACACTTGTTTAACACAGTTCCCTCCCTCCCTCCCTCCCTCCCATCATTTGAAGCAAGATCTTGCCATTAGCTCATAATGGCCCATAAGCAAAGCCTTCTAATTCCACCTCCCCCTGTGCTGGGACTGTAGGCACATGTCCCCACACCAGGCTAACATGATCTATCTAATCTCATTAGTCCCCTGGAGGAAGGGAGTCTCCCGTTTTATGAGCAGTTCTGCTTCCTACATCTGCAGCATTTCTTTGATCAGGACAATTGCAGTTGCCAAATCCAATTGTTTTTGCAATAGCTAAACACAAGTGAGAATTCCCACAGCTGTCCCACTGTGACAGCAAACACAGACACTCTTCAATGTATGATGAAGTTGCACCCCATAAGCCATCATGTAGACAGCACTGTAAATAAAAAAGACATGTAGGCAAGGCAGCACAATTTAGTCTCCCCTGCTTTAGATATACCAAGAACACAGACTTTAACTTACAGCTGGGCAGAACATCTCACACAAGGCCCATTTTGTAATACAGTGTTGACTATATCATATAATTAAATATTATACAGCCAGTGAGGATCAGAACACCTTTAGAGGCATAAAACAAAAATATTCCAAGTTGAACCACTGCCTGTACAACAGTATGTACACATAAGGCTCACAGCCCACTCGCCTCAAGTTGGAGACCACAGTGGGTGGCACACAGCCCCACGACTGACCCCCTCCATCACACAAGAACATCTGGGTGGTGTGTACAGTAACAAACAGAAAGTGAGTGTCACTGTCCCTCTGAAAGATGAACTCAAAAGCTCTGATTGAGGTACCTATGCAGAAGGATGTTTAGCTTCAACCAGTGTTAAAATGAAGCCAAGGAGGGCGAGACTGAGGGGAGTGTTCCAGGTGGGGATGCTAAATGCCACCACAAACCCAGGGGATGAAGGAGCCCCAGAGGCAGGACTCACCAACCATGACAGATGTGTAGCTGTGGGCGGGGTCAAAAGGACATCGTCCTTTGCCATCTTCATTTTTCCCCAGAAACTTGAAAGATGTCAAGTTCTACAGTTGAATGAAAAGAAAACAGATGACTTTTGGGTGCTAAGGATGTGTCCATTCAAATTTACCCATCTCCTATTTGCTGGAGGACAAAGAGGGTGGAACAAGAGGGCCCTACCACCCTGGGAACAGTGTCACCTGAAGTTTAGCCTAGGTGTACGCCAGAGGCTGGGGCCTTGGCTGATTCGTGCAGGAGGATCTCAGAGCCTCTGATTGCTCAACTATGCTATCTAATAAACAGGCAACACAAAACCAAACCAGAGAACCCCCACCTCCGTTCCACTACCAACACCAGCTCCAGGGCGATCAGTGTCTGATTACTGAAGGCAAAACCAAGCTCACTAAAACAATGTGGGTCATGTTGGGGTCAGGCTGTGCCTCGCTCTAGCTACTCCATATTGAAACAAACACTGGTTTTTCAGGCTGTGCCTTGCCCTAAGAGACTCTGTTGTACAAGTAGCTTTTGACTCCATTTTGAGGGAAACATGACTGCATCCCCTATGTGGACCTGCAAACTACATCATCTGTCAGGAACCACCATCTAGCACACACTGACAAATGACTTACTCCTAGGAGTAGAAAGGGAGCCACCCTAAAAATTTATCTGAGTGAATTGAGAATATAGAGACACATGGGTGTATTAAATCATTTCAGAGAAGTCAGGCCCAAGAACTTATTAGACACACTAGACCAAGGAAAGGGTGTGACTCCCTCCCTGAACATCATAAGGTAGTGAGTACCTAACACTGCGATGGCGTGACCCCATAGAAGTCTATCATCTGACATCCCATGTGTGCAGCAAGGCCCAACAAGCAAAGTCCTCCACTGTCCTGGGGCTTCAGCTTGGCTGTGCACCGATTACTGACACACCCTACTCCACTGCCTGCCTGTCCACCTTTTTGCGAGTCTGGATTTGAACTCGAACCTGAACAAGCTGTTTCCTGCTCTTGGACATTGATTCTGCCTTTCACCTTGAAGCTTGAGTCTACAGTATCACCCTCAAACCCTGGATCCAGCAGCCCCAGCAGCAGCTCACTCCCCACACTGGTCTGGTTCATTAACACAGACTCTCAGCCCACTTCTAAAACCTTTTGAACTTGGCTGCAACTTCTTTAATTTGTATTCATTCTATAAACCATATATATGCATATAGATATATTTGCTGTGTGCTGTGTAAGAAATAGTTAATCTTAGTAATTAAGACTGGAATAAAAGAACTTATATTTGCCTTGGCCAGGTTACCAAGGTGCGTGGGATGACATGGCAAATTGCTATCACTGAAACCACTAGACGTTGAATTTATTGTTATTGAATAAATTCTGATTGTGTGGAAAGACACAAATGTGCTGGTCTGTGTTTCTGGTATAGCAAGCTCATGACAATCATTAAGTATTTCCGTATTGGGATAATCTCTCTTCACCTGACAAAGAAATCCACACTGTTCAAGGAAAAAATAGATCCATCCAATCATTAATACATAAAAGTAGAATGCAATCATACAGGAAAAAATGAGGCATGATTGAATGGCAAGTGACAAGGGGGAAATGCCTACGAAATGAAAATGAAGTATTTCCATCCCTGAATACAGGAGAGGCATGTGCAGACATACATGGAAGAACACACATGGTGAAAATAGGTGGTGAAGTGTTAAAAGACAGAACCACCCACAGGGCAGCCTGCCAGAACTCCAAGAACACAGGGACTATCTGAGTGGGCCATCACCATGTACTTAACGGGCTAGAGAAGCTGAGGAGCAGAGCACTGCACACCACAGGCCCTGCCAGAGACAGCTGGCTGGGAGTCACTGGTCAGCAGGTGTGAGGTTTCACAGTGCCAGAACAACTACAGTGGACAACAGCCCAGCTAAAACAATAGTCACAGGGTCACCAGTCAGGTTAGGAAGCATGAGCTGGGGTGACAGTATGGCCCACATGAAAGGACCCATCTGTTAACCTGAAAAGGATACATGGGGGCTACTGGGCAATCCAGACAGGGAGCAGGGACGTAGGATACTGAGAAATCATTGTGTGTTTTCTAAGCTAAGATGATGAACTCAATTATCCAGGAAATGTCTTTATTCTTAAGAGACGCTTGCAAAGGCCTATGGGAATCATGGGCCATACTTCAGCAAATGTACACACAACACAACTAAACACACACACACACACACACACATATATCCCTACACATGGAAACCTCAGCACACAGAAGCATGCACAAAATGACACGCACAATCTACTGTGCAGTCTAGGTGACTGGTATACAGAGGGTTCTACTTTGCTGTACATTTGAATTTTTTATTAAAAGTTTCAGAAGCTCGGGGCTGGAGAGATGGTTAAGATGGCTCAGTGGTAAAGAGCACTGGTTACTCTTGCAGAGGATCTCGGTCCAGTTCCCAGCACTGAGATAGTGGTTCACAACCATCAGTAACTCCAGTTCCAGGGGATCCAATGCCCTCTTCTGGCCTCCACAGGCATTGCATACATAGGTGCACTTACATACGTGCAGGCAAAACACTCATACACATTAAAAAAAAAAAAAACTTTCAGAAGCTACAGGTACAGATTTTTGTTTGCTTAGTTGTTTGATACAGGGTTGCAATATGTAGCTCTGGTTGACCTGGAACTCACTATGTAGACCAGACTGGCCTCGAACTCACAGAAATTTACCTAACTCTGACTCCCGAGTGCTGGAATTAAAGGAAAGCATCACAAGTTTAGATTTAAACTAAGCATTCTATCTCCTTACATCAATCCCAGGCTCTGCTATAAAGAATAAGCTTACTCAACAGTCCTGTCAGCTTACAACTAGGATAGCTGGAGTGAATCGGGAAATGCTCTGATGGGAAAGATGGTTCTGGTACAACTACCCTCTTCTTTTCCTCTTTTTTACTTTCTTTTCATTTCCTATTTTTTCCACTAAAGAAAAAAGTATCCGTGTTTGAGGACTGAAAGTCTTTACATCCCAGAACACACATACACAGACACACAGGCACATATTTCCAGCTATCACTGCATCAGAGAATATAGGTCACCAGGTAAACCCATGCAGTGGCTCTCACCACAGACATCTGTGCAAGTACTGGGCTTCCTAATTCTTTTGTGTGTGATTTTATTTTTATTTATTTATTTTTTTTGAGACAGTCGTACGAGCTACATCCTATAACCCAGGCTGACCTCAAAGTCAGGATCCTCCCAGGTACTGGGGATTTTAGGGATGCCTCACCACATCTAGGCACCTGTGCAAATTTCTAGTGAGTCTGTGCTTTGTCTGGATATTTCTGTGACTCAAGAGTTTTGTTTTTATTTATAATTTATTTATTCTTATTTTATGTGTATGAGTGTTTTGCCTGAATGTACCCAAGTACAATCATGCGTGCAATGCATGTGGAGGCCAGAAGAGGGTGTTGGATCCCTTGGAACTGGAGTTATAGACAACTGTTAGCCACCATGTGGTGCTGGGAACCAAACTTGGGTCCTCCACATGAACAGTCAGTGCTCTTAACTGCTGAGCCATCTTTCCAGCCCTAGACTCAGGGTGCTTTGTTTTGTTTTGTTTTGTTTTGTTTATATGTGTATACAGTGTTGGGGATCAAAACCCAGCATTTCTTACATGGTAGCAAGCACTCTTAGCTACAACTGGAAACAGGCTTTTAGGTGTCAGCTAATTGAGTGTTCTAGTAAACAAAGCGGAACAGCATATAGCATATATCATACTTGTTATGGTGTGAGTGTGAAATGTCTCCTACAGTAGGCTCCTGTTTGTCTCCTACTGGTGGCACTATTTTGGGAGGTTGTAGAACTTTGGTGAAGAGGAAGCTCCTGAGGGGGCAGGTTGCTGGGTACAAGCCTAGAGGTTTACAGGCCAGTCCCACTTCTGGTTGCTGCTCTGTTTCCTGTTTCGCTGAGTCGTGAGGTAGAGAATTCTAGCCATGAGCTGCTTCCACTGCCATGCATTCTGTTCCCTTGACGGTGAGCCAAACGAACCCTTCTCCCTAAAGTTGCTTCTGGTCAGGTGTGTGGTCACAGAAACAAGATAAGTGAGCACATGGTTATAACGTGCTTCGTATTTGTAAAAGGTCATATGCTGTTTGAGCTCACTGAGAAACTGACTCTGGAAGCCAGGTCACAAACCCTCTCCCCATTTCAGACCTAAGCATGTTTGTTTCAGTGTCCACCAGGGCCCCTTGTCTGGGGATGGGCTGCCCCCCTTAACTCTGTAATAGAGAGAGAACAGCAAACAGCTTAAGAGTAAAAACACTGTGTCCTTTAGAACAACTAAATGGTAAGCCATTTTCAACAGAGGTTACTGTTGTTCACCCCATGATATGAAAGTGCCTACAGTGGGAGAGAGAAGCTGGAAGCTCAGTCATGGGAAGCTCAGCCATGAGAGAAAACTCAACCAGGAACTCCAGCTGACTGCCTCAACTTCCCCAATATATTTCTGCTGGATTTTGACTACCTGCTTTGATGACACTATCTCTGTCTGTTGCTATTTGTTTTTACTTGGAAGCCTCACCTGAGGCTGCTCTGCTCTGCCCTATCTCTGTTGGGAACTCCAGCTGGCTGCCTTAACGGATTCTCTAGTAGATTTCTGCAGGGTATTTTGAGCACCCAGTTTGATATTTCAGTATCTCTTGCTATCTACTATTTTACTTTGTCTTGCAGTAAACCTAATAAACTCTCTCATTCAAAACTGAAGGTATGGCTATCCTAGATCCTTCTCCAGACTGTACAGAACATGAGTGTAGAGAAGTAAGCTTATTGCTGTTGCTGCAAGAAGTCTGACTGTGCAGTACTCAGTCCTTCTGATTTGTGGGATGAATGGGGAAAGAGTCTGGAGCTGTAAGTCAGAAGGGTCTTAGATGCCGTAAGTAGAGCTTAACAGACAGTTCTGGTGGGAGTGCCAAAAACAAGAATGCCAATAAAAATGCAGACAATGGAGGTTTGTGAGGTTTCAGAGGGAAGCAAGACTCCATTAGAAACTGAGCTAGAAGTAAATTGCGCTATTTCCTGGTGAAGAATCTGGTTCTGTCCTGCTTGTGTGCTGAAATTTGATTGAGGCTCAATTCAAAAGTAATGGACTAAGTTGTCTGAAAAAGAAAATTTCAAGACAGGACAACACACGGACTTTGTGGCATGACTGCTGCTTTCTTCTCTTAGTCAGAATTACAGTGATAGGCAGCAGAGAGTTACCAGAAGCATGCAGTCTGGTAAGGAAAGGAAAATGAACATACAGAGTTGCAGACAGGGTGACAGGATGGGTTCAGACAAAGCAGCTGTAGTTGTTAAAGAGATAGTACCTTGTACTTAGTAAAGAGGAAATGTGCTGTGAGGGCAAGTCCACACACCTACAGGTGCTCCATGGTATAACAACACATTTGAAAAACTCATTTGTCAAGACAGTATCTGAACAAAGAGCCACCAGGACATCCTGCTCGAGAAGGGATGCCCAAGGAAGTGTTTCCCCAGGTTCAGCCAGGCAAGTGGTCAGAGGTCTCTGCAGCTATGGTGAAAGGGGCCAGGCTATATCTCCAGCTGGCAGCAGAACTTGGTGGGTCATCCATACAGCACTGGTTTTTCCAAGTGTGGAGAGTGTAAGAGTGAAGGGGTCAGGGAGGCTGGCACCACGGTTCCAAAAAGCTACTAAGGCCAATGTGCCTTATGGTTGGATTCCCTGCATGGAGCTCGTAAGCAGCCCTGTATGAAGAAGCTGTGAAGATGAAGACTGTTACAATGGAGAGCCTAGGATACTGGATGTGCCAGAAGTGTATAACGTTCACTGAGGAACAGTTGCTGCTGCATGCAACAGTGCTGGAAGGGCAGGGATACCCATGTCCACTGAAGCCCCAAAGATGCTGTCATGAGTCCCAGATGCCAGACATGGAGGGGCAGTGTTTGGTGTTTGTCCCACTAAGTTTCAGTATTGTGTTGGTCCAATCATTCCTTACTATCTTCCCATTCCTCCCCTTTTGAAGACATGTTTAATTTTTAATTATATGTATGTGTGTATCTGTGTATGGGTATGTGTGTGTGAGTGCAGTACCTATGGAGGTCAGAAGAGGGTGCCAGACTTCCTGGAGCAGAAGATACAGGAGGTTATAAGCTGCCTGACATGGGTGTTGGGAACCTAACTTAGTCCTCTGCAAAAACAGTATGTGCTCTTATTGGCTGAGCCATCTTTCCAGCCTCATCCCTCCCTTTTGAATGGGAATGTTTACTCCATGCCACTGTATATTGGAAATAGGCATCATTAAAAAATCGGGGCAGGGGGCTGGAGAGACGGTTCAGGGGCTAAGAGCACCAACTGCTCTTGCAGAGGACCCAGGTTCAATTCCCAGCATCCACGTGGCAGCTAACAACCATCCATAACTCCAATTCTAGGGGATCCCCACACCTTCTTCTGACCTCCATCAGGATTATATGACACGAGTGCACTTACACACATGCAGGCAATACACTCATACACATAAATAAAAATCACTGATGAAATACTAAAAAGAAAATTTTTTTGTAGGAGCTCATAGTTAAAGAGATTTCCCTAAGTCTCAGAAGAGACCTTATATTTTGAACAGTTCTGGAACTCTAAGAAGATGGGATTTTTTTTAAGTTGGACTGAATGCATTTTGGTTATGAAGGGCCACCAGTCTCTAAGAGCCCCCAATCTATAAAATGTCCCCCACAGGCTCCTGTCTGTGAACACTTGGTTCCTAGATGATGGTCCTGTCTTGGTAGGTTGTAGAAACATTAGGAGATGGGACCTAGCTAAAGGTATTGGGTTGCTGGGGGGCAGGCCTTGAGGTTTACAGTCTGGTGTTAGTTCCTGTCCTCTCTTTGTTTCTTGAGCTGCTGAGATGGTAGCCTCATACTCCTGCTGCCATGCCCTCCCCATCATGATGGACTGTACTCTTAAAACATGAGTCAAAATAAGCCTCTTCTCCCTTAAGCTGCTTCTTCTCAGGTATTTGGTGATAACAACAAGAACAGTAACTAATATGTCATTTGTCAAGTGCTCCTTAAAGCCAGGAACCATCGCTAGAAAGCATTTCATTTCCAGTCTTCAAGCAGTTGTTTAAAACACTCTTCCCTTTGATTGAGATTACTGTGAAATTGTTCATCTGATTATAACAACCTCTCCTGAAAGAACTGGTTGTGATGGTCTAACCTTCTGTCTCCATCTGTTGTTGGGCAGAGGTGGGCTCTCCTCACCTGTGGAATCCATCCTGGGCAGAGGGATGGACATGGCTTGGGGAGGGATAGAACACGGTCCCTGTTTCTTACCACTCAGGATGAGACGACCCCAAGAGGACTACTGGATGTACATACAGGGTTACACCAACAGCAAAAATGACATCCCAAGACCTGTTGTACCCATGTGAGTACCCATCAGATGCACTTTCTAGAATGTCTGCCCTGCATATTCTTCACAGGTTCCAAGGGCTATGGTATCCCAAGTCATACCTCAAGCCATACTCTGGGCCTGGAACACCACAGCTCAGAGGACCCACACAGGTCAAGTGCTCTAAAGCACAGCCTGGTGAGGCTTTCCAGAGGGGTTGAGAGCAGCCCTGTCCTCCCAGGGCCCAGCTCTCCTTTAACCACTGAACAAACCGACATAAGCACAGATGATATACGGGACAAGTCTGTGTCCTTACCAGGTGGTCACAGGTGGGCTGGAACGCGTTGGTCCCACATACATACAGGGAGGTAGCGCTGAGCGGCTGTAGCACTCGAATGTAGTTGAGGCATTCTGTCTGCAGGGGAAACACACAGTCAATAGGCAGCCACCAAGCCACCAAAGTGCCCTCTATGTCCACTCAGTGAAGTCTAGTCACCCTCTGCCTGTTCTGTCCTTTGCTCAGCCTGGCCTGTCTATTCGCACAGAGGGGCACGCTGGACTCTGCAATATGACTTTCTTTTTCTGCAGTGTACAGGCAGTTCAGGTACCAGGCACAACTTCGGTTCTGTCCCTAGTTGATGCTCAGTCAATATCTGTAACCAAGCAACGCCAAGAGAGCTGACCTCAAACTTTACTGGGCTACCCACTACAGAAGGAAATATATTTGACCCTTAGTAAACATGCATGCCATTCATTTTGGTGCCCAAATTGCCAAAGTAGACATTGTACAGACTCCTTCTGCCCTCCGAGGGACCACACCCTCCATCCCTGCCAGCGTGGGACTGAAAATAGTGACTACTGGAGCCTGAGGGAGAGGCTGAACCCAGAGGGTGCAGCCAGCTGTGCATCCCAGAGCGCTCAACAGGGAAACAATTACGCCAGTTAGGAACCCACGTGCTATTTTAGGGGAACAGTACTTGAATTATATGGGCTGCATCCTGAAATTTTCTCAAATCAGGGAAGTTTCTTTTTGTAATGACTGTTTCAAATGGATGTCATTTAGTCACTAAGTTGCTCCACTCCACCCCTAGGCTGGGAGGGCTTACTCAGATGCACAGACTGCCTACAGTACTGTGAGCACCAAGTGGGGCCACAGCCATACAGTGGGTGGTGAGGGTACCCAGAGTTCATGAAATCAAAAAAAAAAAAAAAATTAACTCCCCAACCCCCCTGGGGCTAGAGAGATGACTCAGAAGTTAAGAGCACTGACTGCTCTTGTAGAAGATCTAGGTTCAGTTCCCCGCACCCACACAGCAGTTCACAGTGGTCCTTAACTCCAGTTCCAGGGGATCCGATGCCCTCTCTGGCCTCTGTGGGCATTGCATGACATACATGCAGGCAAAACACTCATGCACATTAAAACAAAACACAAAAAAACCCAATCCCCATAACCCTTCAGACTTTAGTAGGCAGTGGAGGGAGGCCCAGGAATGTAGAAATCATTTTCTGTATTCACAGTGTCAGGCCATTTGAATCATCTCCAAACTGAAAAGCATTTCTCTGGGCTGAAGACGCAGGGCTCCAGCCCTGAGAACACCAATCCTGATGCCAGGTATCGGGAGAGCTTCCAGATGAGTGGAGGCAGAGGAACCAATTCCACCAGAACCACATGACTAACCACACTGATGTCCAGTGGGCATGCAAAAGCCCTGCTATTTGAGAGGCTCCAACAACTAAGAAATGTGTGCACACATTTTTAGCCTACACAATCAATTACCTGCTTTGATTTCCCCTTCTCGGCACATTTTGCTTTTTTGTCTTCAGAGACCTTCCAATATACCTGTGCGGGAGAAATGCATGAGAGCCCATCCCATTGTGGCCTCCCTTGAAAAAGCAGTGCTGGGATAAACAGACCCAAGCAGAAAGCACAGGATGCAGCTCAGAACCCAGAGGCTTGCAGACAAGATAAAATCAGACTAGGAAGGAAGTCCTGGGAGTAAGCGGTGTTGAGACCTGGAAGCCATCCCCCAGTACCTTCCTGATGTTCTGTGACTATCATGAAACTGGGGAGAGGGGGTTCCCACAGCCCTTGGACCCACTACAGAAGAATGTCAGAGAGTTGGGGGGATAGTTCAGTAGGCAAAGTACTTGCCTTATAAGCATGAGGACCTGAATTTGATCCCCAGAGCACATGTGAAAAAGTGAGGATGGTGGTGTACACTTGAAATCCCAGCACTGGGGAGGCAGAGACAGGAGGATCCCTGGGGCTTGCTGGCCAGCCAGCCTAGACTATTTGGTGAGCTCCCAGCCTCAAGAGACCCTGTCTCAAATCAATAAATAATAGACTGGACCTGAGAAAACACACCCGTGGCAGTCCTCTGACCGCCACCTGCATGTAAAGATACACGCCAAAAAACCCCAGCAGAGTGAAACTATAACTAATTTAGTTGTGTGTCAGAAAGTTATACCCAGAAGTGGGGCTTTCACCTTTTTTTGTTAACCTTAAAAATTTTGCTATTACATTTTTATTTATTTTTATTGTGTGTGTTTGTGAGTGGTTATGTATGCCACAGTGTACATGTGTAGTCAGAGGGCAAGTTGTAGAAGTCAGTTCTTGCTACCACATGGGTCCCGGGGATCAAACCCAGGACATCAGGCTTAGTGGCAAGTGCCTTTACCCTCTGAGTCATTTTCCCAAACCCTTTCTACCTTTAATTTTTTTTCCTTTCACAGTTTATACATGTATATAGTGAATTTTAGTCATTCTCACTATCCTTCATGTTTTGTCCAAAACTAGTCACTACAGCTCAGACAAGAAAATAGAATAATGTAGGTTTTTCCATGATAAAGTCACCCCCAAAGATGCAAAGCTCTCCTGGGTGGAGTCCCTATGCCAGGGCTGTGTAGAAGTTGGAAAGGGGGCCCTGGGAGCAAGAGGCTGCCCACACTGGGTGACGGCGCAGGGGCTGGAGTGGAAGGGCAGGCCCTACCTCATGCTGCTTCTCAGAGACATTCAGAGCATTCACTGCAAAGACAGCTTCCCGGGCGCCCACATACAGGGTGTCTTCATCCTCGCTCATCAGCAGGGCCGAGTAGTTGAAGGTGCCAGGCTCGTGAAACTGCAACAGACCTACTTCTGCCATGGCAGAGGCAGGAAAGGAGAAAAGAGGCAAGACATCTTTGCTGGACCTGCACACATCTGAGCCCCACCTGGATGTTGGTGAGCAAGGGCCAGCATCGCCACAGCTCCAGCACAGGCAGAGCTTGAGACTTCCAGGCAAACCCCACCGCAGCCAACAAGTACAGGTGAGCAGACAAGGCTCACCTTGGGAGATGACTCCCAAGGCTGGAGTCCCGGAGCGTGTGTGCATCCCCGGGTTATGTCCCTGACCTCCCTTCCTGTCCCTCAAATCCTGCTGAGTTCCAAACCCACCACTCAGGCCTCCCAGCATACCACAGACCAGGCCCCTCAGCCCATCCTCACCTGGCCTATGTGTTTTCAACCATCCATTTTAGGGTTAGAAAGAATGTAATGATTTAGGATTTTCTCATTCAGGAAATGAATACTTTACTTGAAAAAAAATAAAAAACTTAGAAAAAAATTGTGGGCTGGGGAATGTGGCTCAGTGGAAGACTACTTGCCTTGCACGTCCAGGGCCCTGGGTTCTATCCCAGCACCACTCAAAAAAGAAAAGAAAATTTTAAAAAAAGGAAAATATATCCCTCACCTAAGCAATTTCCAGTCATTATCAGACCTCTAGGGACAAATGACCCTTTTTCGCTGCACCAGTAGCTGTTTAGGAACACAAGTAACACAGACACAATACAAGCATTTCTGATTTTCAGAGACAGGGTCTCACGACATGTGTAGCCCAGGCTGTCCTGGAACTCACCATCCCCCTGCCTCCATCTCCTGAGTGTGTGGCTTCTAGCCAAGTGTGGTGACACCCAGCTCAGAATCATTTTTTTAAAAGCTGGTTCTTCCCAGCTGTCTTGGCATCAGTGAGTGTTTTGAACTTGGCCTTTACCTATGTATTTCCAAGCATCCGGGTGATTTCATAGCTAGGCATTCCGGAACTGTCTGCAGTTCCATGAGGCACTTAGCTCCCTGCCCCTGTGCCCTCACACTGTCCCTCCCCTGTAATGCTGCTCTCAGCCTGCATCCCCTCATCCTGAAAGTCTGACCTGGAAAACTTGTCTGAAGCTAACTAATCTCAACAAAACAGCTCAGTCAGTCACCTGGCCTCTCATGAGCACTCATTAAACTCTGAGCCCTTCCTTGAGGTCCAGCATGGTGCTTAACTAAAGCCTGGCACAAAGCAGCCACAGGGGGTGGCAGGTAGGGAATGCCTACTCACACAGTGCCCTGTAGACAGCCCAGGAGCTCCATCCCAGCACCCCAAGCATAGGTCCCCATCCTCTCCAGAGTCACCAGCAACCACACACAGCCTGACACCCACCTCCATGCTCCCAGGTGATCCGAGGCACAGGTGCAAAAGCCACTGCCATCTCCAACAACACCGTCAGGGCCAAGAGCAGTCCCCAGATGGGAGCACGCATCCTCACAGGCAGGGGCCACTGAGGCCTTCAGCAGCAGACACACATAGGCAGCAGCAGGCTGAGGTGGTGTGCTGGTAGGGTCCACTCAGAGCCCCAGGGCTGGGGCCAGTGGCACAGCTCAGAGCCCATCAGTGGTGGGTTCCCTAAGTCCCCACATGTCCCCACTTGTCAGCTGGGCAGCAGCCACTTTCACAACCTCACACCAAAGGCCACTGGTGCTTCCTTCCAGCCTGCAAAAGAAAGGAAGAGGCCACAGGTCAGGACATGAGGCAGAATGCTGCTCCTGCTGGATCCCTGTCCCCCATCACTTCCTGCCACCTCTCCTGCCTGCTGAGAAACATAGAGGATGGCCAGGAGGCTCGGGGTAGGAGGGCAGGTCCTTCAGATAGAACACAAGGCTAAGACACACCAGACAGAGGCATGAGCTGTGAGACTGGTGACAAGCCACAAATGAAGGAAGGGAATGAGCCTGGATTTCAGCTTCCCTGGGAGACTTTCCAATTCCTGACAGGCTTACCCAGGAAAGTGGCCAGAGACCAGAGGGCTGAGGTGTAAATGCACAATACGAGAGTGCACACGGTGAAAAGGGACACAAAGATGTATATACGTGGAAGTGCGTGTACACACACATCTATGCAAACATGCACACATGCATCTATGCATGTCCACACTTACTAGCATGCACACACATGAAACATGACCCCAAGACCTCTCACTGCAGGACTGTCTGGCCTCCACTGGGGACACAGCCAGCTCAGGAGGCAACTCAAGCTCTCCCTGCTCAGAGAAGAAGTTAATTACCATGGAAACAGTGGCAATTAACTCTGATTTGTCCAAAAAGAAACAGAAAACCAGACTTTGCTAGCGTTTGGTGGACTCTTAGCCACAGGCCTCCTGACCCTGATTTTGTTTTTTTCTGCCACCCCCAGGCCTGAGCCTGGCACACATCAAAGACCTATTACTGAGCCCACTGGCCCTGGCTCCAGCTCTGGTCAGCAGAGCCCAGTACTGTGCCACACCATCTGCCCCACTGCACTGGAAGGCCTCACCTTTGAATGTGGGAAGATGACAAGGCACAACCAGACAGGTGCCCAATGCTGGCAGTGTCCACTAGCCTGCTAAGCCTCCCCTACCTGACCCCACCATCCATAGAGGGCAGGGTCAGCTGCTTCTACATCGCTATCCAGCCCTTCCTTCTGGTCCCTGTCACCTCTGACAAGCTGTGTGGTCTCCATCTCAACGCAACTTCCTAAAGTCAGGGATGCCCAAACCCCTCTTTCCTCCAGAGAATGGAATAGTCTAGGCTGGTGAAGCTGACTTTTCCTATAGATGACTGTTTCTATAGATCAAAAGCAGTTATAGGTGACATTCAAAAAGGTAACAGTGCTGTGGACAGCTTGGCTTTAGAGAACAGGGGTCAGTTTGGTCCCAGCCCTACCTCAGAGATTCACAAGAGCTTAGAACTGAGGAGTGACCCTTACCCCCACCCAAACAGATGAGCAGGAAGCCAAGTTCTGTGGAAGGAGTGGGCCCTGCAGGTCGATCAAGTTCACAGCTTGCCCTATCTGCAGGAGCCTATTCTGCACAGCCAGGAGTGAGGCAGGGGGCTCCTGGGGTCCAGACCATGAGAATCCTCCTAAAGCCAGAAGCACCCACTCCCTCCAACACCATGCTGATTAAAGCACTGAGGGCCAGCCAGGTGGTCCAGGATGATGACACTGCCTGGTCTTAGGTGCTCACTGGGTACAGGTTCTGACATGGCTAAGGTATAGTGGGATGAATCTTAGTCTAGCATCAGGCCCACTGTGGCCAGAGTGATCGAGCTGTGACAGGCAGGAGGCCCCCCTGATGCGCGTGCACATGGTTCCTACAGTGAGGGTCAGGTGCGTCAACCAAGGCTCTGGTACACACTTCTTCCCTTGCCAGAGTCCTGATGAGAAAAGCGGATAGCAAGAACAGCCCAGGCCGGAACAACCTGAACACCAGCCAAGGTCGGCCAGGATGGTGGTGGCATGCAGGTGGGGGTCACCCACAGCTCCAAAACTCCCTTTATAAGGAAATGTTCTTTCAGGGGTGGGGATGTGGCTCATTTCATAATATGCTCACCTAGCATGCACAAAGCTCTGGGTTCAAACCCCAGCACTGTATAAACTGGGCATGGGGGTGCACACCTATAATCCCAGCACATGGGAGGTGGAGGCAAGAGGATCAGAAGTTCAAGGTCAGTCTCAGCTACATAGCCAGTTTGACTAAAAAAAAAAAGAAAGAAAGAAAGAAAGACAAAAAGGAAAAGAAAATAGAAGGAAGCCTTTTCAAAAATAAAGGGGTTCACAAGGCTAAAATTAAAGCGTGAACATGCCAAGTGTTGACAAGAATGTGGAGCAACTGGAGCACTCACACTGCTGGCACTGATGTAAGATGGTTTCATCATTTGGAAACATCCTGGAAGTTTCTTAACAAGTGAGACATGGCACCTGCTGTACCATCCGGCTATACTTCAAGGTGTTTACCCAAGGGAAATTAAAGAACTACGTCTGCACACAGTGACTTGTACAGGTCTGGTCATGGCAGCCCTGTTTGTTTGCAATAGCCAAAAAACTGAAACAAAAAAAGTAAGACTATTACTCACCAATAAAAATAATGAGCCATTGAAAAAAATAAAAGAGAATTAAAAGGGTTGATGCCAACCATAGTGGCACAGGGCTTTAATCTCGGCACTCGGGAGACATAGGAAGGCCAATCTCTGTAAGTTTGAGGTCAGCCTAGTCTACATGGCGAATCACACACCAGCCAGCTACATAGCGAGACCCTATCTTAAATTGTTTGTTTGTTTATTTTTTGAGAGAGGGTCTCACTATGTAGTCCTGGCTGGCCTGGAACTTGCTGTGTAGACCAGGCTGGCCTCCAACTCCCAGAGATTTGCCTGCCTCTGCCTCCCAAGTACTGGGATTAAAGGTGTGCTACCATGCTAGGGCTAATTTTTTTTTTAATTTTAAATTAAAGGATTCAAGAGATATGGCTCAGTGGTAGAGAGCTTGTCTAGCCTGTGTAAAGCTCTGGAAAGAAAAGAAAGGAAGAGAGAAAAGAAAGGAGGAAAGGAAGGGAGGCACACAAACCACAGAGAAAGAACCCTCCAACTTCAAACTGCTTGGTGACATAGACCCCGTGCAAAGCCCAGGGCGAGGCAGTCAACAGAACAGCCTTGGACCAAAGCAGAGCCAACCACAGTGTCCTCCACCTATGAGCTGATGGACATACTTGTTGGGAACCACAACAAACGATACAGGAGGGAGTTCACAGACACCGCAAGGAGTCAGATCCCTCCAACTAGGAAGTTTGGAAATGGGCATGTCAGGTCAGGTACAGAGGGTTCATGGGGGTGGCTGGGGTCCCTGGGAGGAGCTGAAGCCAGGGTGCTCTGTGCCTGGATGCATCCTTGGGTCAGGTGGAGACAGTGCCCTGACTGGGCATTCCATGATCCTGTACTATCATATGAGGCTCCTCCCAAAAGTTCAACCTTAGCAGCAGCACAGGGTTTCAAGACCTCATCTCTTTCTTCCTGGGACCATGGGAGGGCCAGAGGACAGGTGTATCCCTTAGCCCCAGGCTGAAATCACATACCTCAGCCAGGCACAGTGGACAGAAAACCAAGGGAGGCACTGACCACCAGGACCTGCTGACCCACCTCCATCCCCACCCTGATGCAGGATCCACAAGAAGTGTGACCACCCAACCTGTAAACCTGCTATGGATTCACCTACTTCCCCATTCACCTGCTCCCTCATGCCCTGGCCCTGCCTGGGGCAGCAGGACACAATTTTCCCAACCCCAACCTGCCCCTCTCTTGCCTCTGTGGTGGAGTCACTGGCTTTCTGCCTCATTCCAGGTAACAGAATCTTGAGCTTCCTTAGGTGGGCAGCATGCCCAGCTCAATACATTTCTAAGCTTCTCTGGTTCACAATTCCACAAAAGGCTGACATGTTTAACAATAGCATTTTGGCCCTTAGCTCTTCTTCCTGTTGCTACCTGGAACTCAGATTTGACCTCTGGAGCTCTGGCAGCCATTTGTGAACATAAGGATCTCATTCTATGAGCTGCAAAGTGGGCCAGACCTCATGACAGCATGGGGGACTCTGCACCTGCTTCTTCCTGCAGTCTAAGAATGGATTAGTGGGACTGAAGAAATGGCTCAGCAGTTAAGAACACTTTCTGTTCTTCCGGAGGACTCAGGTTCGATTCCCAGCACCTATATGGTGGCTAACAACCATCCATAACTCCAGTTCCAGGGGAATCCAACGCCCTCTTCTGACCTCTGCGGGCATTGCACTACGCTGGTGCACTTATATTCGGGCAAAATTCTTGTACACACAAAAAAAAATAATAAGATATTTTTTAAAAAAGAATGAATTAGTATCAAACACACAGATTTTAAAAACCAAAGCCACACACATTCAACATGGAGTCATTAGCAGCCCCAAGAGAAGGAAGAGTGGTCCATGAGTGTAAATGTACTCAGAATGTGTTGGTTGCCATGGCTGGTGTGCAACCTCACAGAAACTGAGAATAAGGCCTTTGCGAGGGTGATGGAGGTACAGAGGAGGAAGACAAGGTGGAAAGCAGGAGCCTCATCTTCTATCCAAACAATGACCAGAGTAGACACAGAGCTAAAACAAACCTAAAGGAAAATACCAAAAAATGGCTGCAATAGTTGAAAGTTCTCAGTGCCCCAGGTCTGTGGGAATGGGTGCAGAGAGCCAAGTCTGGCCAGGCCTGCTCTCCAATAAAGCTGTGGAAAATGCATCAATTACTTTGATAAAATGAACTTAGAAGTAATCAATGGGGCTGGTGAGATGACTCAGTGGATAAAGGCACCTGTCACCAAGCCTGACAACTTGAGTTTGATCCCCAGGACCCACATAGTAGAAGGAGAGAGCTGACTCCTGAAAGCTGCCCTTTGATCTCCACATGTGCGCTGTGTCATGTATGTATGTATGTGTATACACACAATAAATAAATAAATGTAACTTAAAGGAAAAGAAAAGCTGGATGTGGTAACACATGTCTTTAATTCCAGCACTTGGGAGGCAGAGGCTGGTGAATCTCTGTAAAATCAAGGCCAGCCTGGTCTATATAGCGAGTTCCAGACTAGCTGGGGCTACAGGGCGACACTGTCTCAAAAGAAAAAAAGCCAGACATGGTGGCACAGGCCTTTAAATCTCACCACTTAGGA